AAAAAAAAAAAAAAAAGAACAACAACGGTATACTAAGTGAAAAAAAAACTTTAAAACTGTTTTCAGTAACAAATTCTTAAAAATTAAAAAAAAATTAAAAGAGTGGTTTTAGGAAAAGGAAAGCATCTTTTTGCTATGTTTCAACAGTTCTGTTGTTTTAGCGCTAAGTATTATTTGTATTAATTAATATAATTAGCATTAGAATTATTGTTTTTATTAGTATTACTGTCACCATTTTTTCTGTTTCTACTTTTATCTCTATTTTTATTTGTATTTTTTTTTCATTGTTGATTTTATTGTATAACTGTCAGCAGAATCGTCATCATCATCGTCATCAAATGTCATCATCACTATCGTCATTATCAGCAATAACAACGTTGACAGTGATAACTTGGGAGACGACAGCAAAAACAAGAAATACTCTTTAAATGTTGAACAAATTTCACTTCCACTAAAAAATTTCTCCTTGAAAATAATCTTGAAAAAAAAAGAAAAAAAAGACTTTTTAATACTGCTACTCTTCTAGTATTTTTATACTTTATCAAATATATAAATACACACGCACACACATATATGCAAATTAAAAAATTAAATTTTCTACTACAATTATCATCTGTTTTAGTCAGATTTCTAATCCCAAAAACATTTCTTAAGCAGTTAGTCAGCTGTGCTTTCTGTAGGCTAATTTACTTTTCATATAACAGTTAAAGTTATTTAAAACACTTTTAAAATTTGTTTAGTTATTTTTTTTTTAAATAGATATATTCAATTATTGTTTCTCGAAGTAATCATCAAACAATAATATAGTCAATTAATAATAATTACTAATTGCAGTAAAACAGTGTTTAAAATAAAAGTACTCTTTTTTTTTTCGCTTTATATCTATTTGAGGCTTTATTTTTATCAGTTGCATTAAAGTTTTGCATAAATTTGCTTTTCTTTTTTTTTTTTTGTATGTGAGGTTGTTTTATAACCAAAAAAAAAAAAAAAGAAAAGCAAATGGTTATTCTAGGAAATTCCAGGAAATGTCAAAAATAATGCATCAGCTGACAGATTACATAACTGAAACAAAGTTAAAATACAACTGTAGTTGGAACAGTAAACTGAATAAAACCGGATTTTTATCAGCGCAGCTCTGACAACCGTAAATATCCATTAGCACATTGTATAGCACAAATAAATAGACATTATATTGAGTATTTGTGGTTGTTGACCATTTTATACAGTTATATAGTGCCCGACTGATTAGTAAAATTTTGAAAAAGCTAGAAAAAAAAAAATTTTGAAAAAAAACATCAGTTATTGTTTTATTGGGGTTTGCTGGTTTCATCTCTCCTCCTTTCTTCCTCTACGGCAAAACAAAAAATAGTTTTCTTTTTTAACCAAAGAATTAGCTTTAACTCAATTAATAAATTCTTTTTCTTTTTGTGCTAAACCAAGCATACTGAGTGTCTAAGTTTGATTGTACCAACAACGTTCTCATTTTTCAATCAAACAAATTCGTTATTACTCAAATAAAACAATTACCGAATAAACTGTTGAGCTTTGCCATTAATGAAAACAAAAGTTTTGATAGAAATAATAGAAGAAAAAGTGCTTTGTTCTACAAAATTTTTTAAGCACGTTCACTATAGCATTATAATGACTTGTTTTGGTCCTTCTCCTTTTTTTTTTGTACAGTCGGCGAACAGTTTGCTGAGCAAATGTCATCGTTGCGACTTAAAGTAAATGAAACAAAAACAAGAGAAAAAAAAAATTTTTTTCTTTATAAATTCTATTAAGATGTCTGAAGGAACACCAAAACTAGTGTACCAGTCAAATGACCTTAACAAAAAAAAAAAAAGAAAAAAACTTTTTTTCTATGCAACCAAATACAAAAAATTCAAAAATTTTTTACTTTTAAGATTTTTATGCTTTTTTTTTCCCCTACTTCTATTTCTGCTTCCACAAATAAAAACCAAAACAAATGAGAGAAGTTTAGTGGAGAGAAAGCAAAAATAACTGCAGCAAAAAAAAAAATTCTTTTAAACATCTGTATAGAAGTATACAGAGAAACAGTATTTCTTGCAAAAATGCCTAAGTTTTTTTTTTTTTTGCCTGACATCAATGAATTTTTACGCATTTATTCATGCAAGTAATTTGTCTATAAACATTGGTGAACATTTTCTAGCTGAAAAAGAAATAATTGAGAGAAAAATGACGTTATTGTAGTGAAAAGAAAAGGAAAAGCAAAAAAAAAAAATTTTTTTTTTTTTCTACGGTTCTCTTAGTATTTCCGGTACAAAGTTTTTTCACTTTTTTACTAAATCATTCAACCGTAACCATCGTTAAAATTTTTGCATGATTTTAACAGCAATAGTAGCAGCAGATGTGGAAAAAGCGACAGAGATGAAGAAGTGGAAACAGATGGTTAAAGCAGTGGCGGCTACAGTATTGGCTTTAGAAAGTCAATTTGGTTC